CGAAACTAGGTGTACAAATATGACTCGGTCAGGTAAGAGAAAGTAAGGACGGCTTCAGGAGAGGAAAGCTATATAGACTGATTGAGAAAAGGCGAGAAAGAGGAGGAAATAAGAGAGGCAGGAGGAGGAGAGAGAAGGGGTGGGGAGGTGGTGCGTCGGAGCCAGTGGTCTGGACGCGACGGCTCAGTCGTGGCTGGGTGGAGCCGACGGAGGTGTCCATCTGCGTCGCAATCGAGAGGCTGAAGAGGCTGGAACAAGAAGAAGGCGATGAGAAAAACACGCCCGAGGCCTGAGCGCGCGGGCGCGCGGGCGGGCGGCCCGAAGGGTAACACCAGGGAGAGAGGATAGACATATTTCCGTGCCTGATGAAAGTGGCAACGGTGGAGAAAGGAAGAAACGAGGGAGCTCACTTGCGACACAGACAAACATCAGCTGATCCCGGGTTGCCAGTTAAGCACAGGAAGCTTTGCTTCCTTCTCAACTGATGTTGTCGGAGAGGCTCATGACCCCCTCGGCCCTCCAGCCTCCCCCTCGCCCCTGGTGATCTTCGGGCCGGCGCTCAGGACCTCAGAGGACGGACATGCAAAAGGCCATTAGAAGACACCAGACCTCAGGCCGGTGGTCAGTGCATAGCGTCATTCAAGCTAAAGTGAATAAGTCATTGAGCAGCAATAATAACCATGCATTGAAAATAGGTGAATCAACAGAATAATAAATAAATGATTTACCGTTAGTGGTTCTTCAGGCTTTGACTTAGCATTTGAAATTAGAAATTTTGGTGATCTTAACTTACCCACTTCATTTCAATAATTCTACTTATCGAATAAATGAGTCGTTATCGTTTCTATCTTGCTAATACATTCATCTTTCTCTGATATGATATACAGTGACAAAATGACGACAGTGCTTTCATTACAAAACATGTTACAGAGACTTAACAATCAAGTATTCATGTTTACCCAATCAAAGAAGGACATGCAAGGGGGGGGGGTGCGAACAGAGAGTAGAATCATGCAGAAGAAACGGAGGAACTAGGAGAGGGATGATGAGGGTAGAACAAATACAATAGAAAAATAGAACAGACAGAAGAGAGGATCCGTACGAATAGAGAACGAGAAGAAATAAAGAACGAGATAAAGAGAACGAGGAGACACAGAAAACGTGTACAAATAGAGAATGAAGACAGAGAGAGCAAATAAAACAGCGAATAGAGAACAAGTAAAATTAAAGAACAGGTAGAAAGTCGTGATAACGGGACACGCACAATAGTTATACTGTATAAAAGAAATTGAGTAATGAAAAAGACAAATGATTAAATATGGTTAGCAGACATGCAGGCGGATGAGTCAGTAGACACGGGGGAACTTTGTAACTTTCTCTTAAGGCCAATGTGATGGATCATTTATATCAAGAAAGAATCTTATGAATATACTGTCTGTGTAAAACTGAGACTCGCAACATGTAATGTACATATTGTAATTAGGATATTTATAATGAAATGTAATCTGAAATCATCCAGGGGACTGAAGACAGTATATCCTTTATAAGCTCCTTTCATGACCCAGCGGTACTGAGCTGAAGCAATAATAGATAACATTTTATTCTAAGCGCAAAAATGAAGCAAAAACGTTTGCCTTTAAAGTCTTTTAAAGCCAGTTCGAAACGAAAACAGCCACACACACACACACACGCATATATATTCAAATATATATACATACATATATGTATATATATATATATATATATATATATATATATATATATATATCAAATATGTATATATCATATATATATGTATATATATATATCATATATATATATATATATATATCATATATATATGTATATATATATATCATATATATATATATATATATCATATATATATGTATATATATATATATCATATATATATATATATATATATATATATATATATATATATATATATATATATATATATATTATATGTATATATCACATATATATATTATATATATATATCACATATATATATATCACATATATATATTATATATATATATATATATATATATATATATATATATATATATATATATATATATATTATATATGTCTCATATATATATATATATATATATATATATATATATATATATATATATATATATATATATATATATATTATATATGTCATATATATATATATATATATTATATATGTCATATATATATATATATATATATATATATATATATATATATATATGTATATATATATATATATATTATTTATATCATATATATATCATATGTATCTTATATATAACATATATCATATATATATATATATATATATATATATATATATATATATAGATAGATAGATAGATAGATAGATAGATAGATATAGATATCATACATATGCAGAAAGATGCGGTTTAACTGAAGTAAAGCCACAACGTACATTCATAGCCAGTGGGGAAAGAGCAAATATCTGCACTTATCTACAACACAATATAATCCAGACGTCACAAACCTCAGCTGCACAGAAAGTGAAGCACCATGTTCTATACATAATAAGAAGTAAAGTACCATGTTGTATACATAAACCACAAACTGTTTTGATCTAATAATCTGTGTAGTGTATTTAAGTAACCTGTGTTTTGTAAACAAGACAAGGAACATAGACGGAAGACACAAGACAGATGTAACACTTAGAATAAATAAACACAGCACCTCACCTCTCTTTCACCAAGCACCAAACACTTACTGTTTAATGTACATAATGTAGATGTGTTTTTTTTGTTTTTGTTTACTATTTTCCTATGTTCTACAAGCTCAGTATTTATGCATCATAGAGATATCGCATACACAAAGCTGTTCTTAGCAGTTTTATATCTTTGCGGAGTTGCCAGGACATAAAAAGCATTTTATTGATTAAATATAAACCAAATAATTCAAGCCTTTGATATACGGAGCTCGCACATTAAAAAGCCCTTAGATGAAATAATAGGAAATGGTATACATCATTCAATAGATGGGATATATACACAAAGTAGGCCTACAAGCTGCGGTTTACAAGAGTAATCATACAGTATACTGACTGCTGGAGGGAAGGGATATCCTTTAAGGGAAAGGCGTCTAGGGGTAAAGACTACAGGCTGAGTAAGGCTTTAAAGGGAGAAGGATACGACGAAGCGCCAGGAGGGAAAGGGAACCCTGTTTCGAAGCGCCGAGAGATGAAGCGAATCTTGTTTCGAATCTTTAATTACTTGTGCCTCGTAGTGGATGGATACATTGGGGCTAATATTGACTACAGTGTTCATTTATTACGTATTACTGTAATTGGGGGAAATGGAATCACGATTATATATCTTACTCCAGAGTAAAGGATTTTTAAAAGGTATTTGGAACATTTTTTTTCTTGCTTTAAGAATTGAGAAAATATTTTTTTGCCTTTTTTTTATCAAGAAGGTTTAATTTTTTTTTAGAGACTGCAGTTAAAAAAATCATCATCGCTTCGCATCATTCACCGGGAGAGGAACTGCTGGTTCGAAGCATCAGAGGGGGAAGGGAAAGCCAATTCAAAGCTTCAGGGGAAAGGATCGAAGCCTTTCAAAAAGGGTAGTTACTGATGACACCTTAAACACATCGAAAGCATCCAGAGACACATATGGGCAGTCCACACTAAAAAGCAAACCGGCCAGTCATGAGAAGTGCCAAAGGGAGTGCCATTCCTGAGGGAGCTTTATGCGGAGGAGGCGCAGCAGCGACTACCTTCGGAGGCTGGCGTGAGCGTAACGCCCGAGCATTGGGGAACGTTGGAGGGGAAGTCGCACGCAGCCCGCTCATTGTTCCACACGAGGCCGCCTGTGCAGTGCTGCACGACTAGCTCTCCTGCAGCGCAACGGACTACAGCGGTGCATTGGGGGCCCGCATACGCCTCTCCCTCCGTGGTGCAGGTGGATTTCTTGAACATGTCGGGGCCGCGGGTGGTGGCGGTACCTGCGGGGCTACAGTGCTTACGGGGGCGTCTTTGAGTGGGCGAGGCGGTTGGGTGGGTGGGCGTGAAGGAGGGAATTCAGAGAGGGCGAGTGTGGATGAAAGGGATAATGGGACGGGGAGAGGGATTACCTTCTGGGATTTCTACTTAATTTCATTTTTATGCTAAATGTTTTTTTTTCTTCTATATTTGTTCATTTGCTTTTTCGTTTTTTTTTTCTATGGGCTAACAAAATATGTCTCTTTCTATTCAAGCGTTCTAACCGCTCTATTGTATATAGACTATGGGTATGCGCAAATGTAAGGCTTATGATAACACTATTTTGGTCTACACTCAAGCGCACGCGCACACACACACACACACACACACACACACACACACACACACACACACACACACACACACACACACACACAGAACATTCACAAAATCTACATGTGTATTTCATATTAACTTGAAATGCACATGCTAACCTATGGATTTCATTCTAGATATATATTCATAATAACCCGTTTACTTCCTGCTGCTAGCTTCGCCCTATTTATGAATCTATTGCTCAGTATTTGTATATTCTGTATTTGTTATCTCCATCAGTTACATCATAACTAAATGCTACTTCTTATTAGATCAGATCGCAATCCTGACATTTTGCTGAAGACGAGTTCTGTTGACAAATATTAAGAATGTTCTTCCTTTGATGTAATGAAACAGAAATAGAATAGTCCACGCTGGCGATCGCTGAAAAGACAAAGGTCGGTTGTCTGCGACGAAGCTATACTCACTCTTACAACGGGCCCTCTGAGGCCAGTCGCAGATCTTGAGGCGGTCGTTCCAGTGCAGGCCGGGGGCGCACGAGAGCACCACCCAGTCGCCGTTGTGGCACTGTCGGAAGCTGCTGCAGTCGCCTGGCACTCCCGAAGTCTTGCCTTCGTCGCAGGACTCCTCGCCGGACTCCGAGGGCGACGGCGGCGAGGGACGGGCAGCTGGAGGGGCGGTAGTGGTGGTGGAAGAT